AGGCAAAAGCCCCATGGGTGGGGGGGGGGGGGGGAAGGGAGAACCTTCTATGTAACAAGTATATTATCTTGGTGCAAATTAATGACTTCTGTAACTACAGCCTCACCATTTCCAGGCCCCAAGTGTTTACATCACAGTCTTCCAGTCCAGTATGCCCAGTTCAAACACTGGGGGAGCTCCTTAATAGCAGGGCATTGCATCCCAGAGCAAATCCTGCCAGCTCCGAAGCACAGCTCAGGAGGTAGGGGTAGGGTTCCCACGTTACTTCTGGGAAGCTGTGTACATGTTTTCTACTAATATTTACACAACATAGTCCCTCTCATTGTGAAAATCCCATACAAGATGAAGCCAATGGCTAGTCATCACTGGAAACAAGATGCTGCCCCACTCTGGTACAAGAGGCCAATGTGGAAAGATCTAAGGAATGAATTCACAAACCCCTCATTTCTAGTAGCTTCCTACACTGTTGCTTTTTCCTGGTGTCTCCCACAGGGAGCGCTTAATGGAAGTTTAATTCATGTCAACAACTTTATGTCCCTTAAAGGACAATCAGGAAGTTCCTTATCCCAAGACTATGCCTAGGGCAGGGGGAGAAGGTGATGCTACGCACTCATTAAATAAGTTTTGCTCAACTGGGCTCTCTTCCTTCTGCCAACCCAAGGATCTATCTATAGTAGCAGGAAGGATGTGAGGGGTCCTGCATACATACCACAGTCCTTCTATGATATCCACGCAGAGAAGGGCACTGCCCAAGCCCTGCACCAGATTCAGCAGAGCAAGAATTCCAGCATAGACATAAAAACTCTTCCTAGCTGTAAGACAGACAAGGACACAACAATGAAATCTAACCCCCTCAGCACTGACTCAATGTATGGCCATGATAGCTACACCTTGCTTGATAGAAGTGACACAAAGCCACGTGCAGAGGGGAAGGGAATCAAACATTTAAAGAGAACACATTATGGGATGCAGGAAGTCCTTATCTCATATTTTTTCCCCATACCACACTCTATGCCAGGAGCGCTGCAGGAAATAAAGAGCTATATATTAATACGGTAAAAGGGGTGAAACGACAGGCTCATGTATCATCAAGAAAAAGTTGGAGTTTAAAGGGGTGGCTCAAAACAACACATGTAAGCCTGTTACAGCTGTACATGCTGACCTGATGCTGGTCACCAGACAAACAAACATGCAACACAGGCAGCAATTTTGGCACTCAAAGGCCTGTGACTAAACCAGAAGAGGTGCTGTGGGTCAGAAATGAAGGAATTAGTTAAAGCTGCATGGAGTGCAGACAAGGGGCACTGTCCATCAGGTGTGAGGGTATCAGCAGAATGGAGAGTTGCCAAGACTGGAATAGCTTGGATATTGCAGGTCTGGAGCAAGGTACATTGGCAGAGCTGTGGCCTGGGAAACTGCCCAGCCCCTGCCTACAGCATGCCAAGCATAGCCCATTGCTTTGGTGAGCATCACACAGACAACTTATTTTCATTTAAAGAAGGAATAATTTAAGGAAGTATTCCAATAACCTGAACCATCCATCCCCCCGTTCCGCTACTCCAGCCACTTCGGTATGCTCCAGATGTACCATACTAACACAAGTGACAGAGTTGCCAAACCAGACAAGAGCAATTAGCAACTCCTAGCAGTCTGGAAGGAAAAGCTCTAAACTTTCCAGACTAAGTGGCCAGTCAGCTGCTCTACACCAAGATGATGTAACCTCATATGCTACACAATAGGGGACTTTGGTTTTCAGAAGCCAAGCCTTTCCTTATGGTGCTCACCACACCTTACAAGAGGCTTACTGGGACTCAAATGCATAACACTTCCTCCCCCTGATCTCAATAATGGAAAAGTCCCATTCTCTTCATTCAATTCCTTGAGAGTTACAGTAGGGATGGAAACATGTTCTCTCACCCTCTGTCATCTCAGAAGGGAGAGACTCTGAAATGCAAGACATGTTAGTCGCAGGGATTTCACCATTCAAGAATTAGTTATTTTTGCTTGCACAGCCCCAAAGTAATCCTAATTTACAATGGATGCTTACCTGCCTACTATTGTGCTACGACATTCTTTGTCTGCCAGCGTAAAAAAGTGCTGACTTCTAGAGGGCTAACACAGGCCTCTGCCACATACCCAGCGCCCCAGTCACTGGCTGGGGAGGAAGGGAATGCAGTAGATTTGGTTACAGGTTGAGGCATAAAGAACCCTTGATTCCTATTCATGTAAACAACCCCACCACCACCGATTCATGGTTCTGTCCCAGCACTGTCTGGCTATGCCATATGAAGCCTGGTGTGCCCACTTACATGGTAGAGAAATCCGGTCTTTCAGAGGAGTTTTTGGAAGAATCACCACCAAGGAATAGACCTGTTGAAGCAGAAGGAGACAGCTAGATCTTTGCCCTTGCAAATAGTTTTACCGCTGGCTTCAGGTTGAACTGCTGAAATCTCAAAGGACGGTGGATGTGCAAAGTGCCACCCCACCGGCACGGTATAAACATGAATTCACAGAGAAAAGGAAGGGGATACAGGGAACCAAGCAACTGACATGGGAGCTAATGGAGTCCTAGGTGCTCAGTTCCTTGCTGGCTCAGGCCTTGAGGGCTCTTGACTTTGGAATATTGGGAAGAGGCACCAAACAGAGCTAGAATTCTAATGCCAAAAACGGAGCCCGAGCCCCATCCCCACGCAATCTTCATTTGCCTTTCCTCTCCCTTTGAGGGGCATCAATTTGCAGGAGATCTCAGTTCCAACACTGAAACCAGAGTGTTACAAGAGAATAAGCAGGTCCTTCTGCAGAACCAGGGACTGTCTAGTGTTTGTGGCTTTGCATTTGACTACCTGGACCCAATTCTCACAAGGCTATTTAAAAGACATCAAGCTGCCAGGGAAGTGGTACCACTTTGATACCTCTCCAAACTGTATTTCCATGTGTCTCAGGGATTATTAGAACAGAGTTTATACTTACCAGAAAGAAGAAACAGGAGCTGGCAAGCCAGAAGTGCCTTCCCCCATGGCCATAGATGTTGAAGTCTTCAGCTGAGAGGTGAGCATCAGGGTATAGGATCTCCAGTGTCCCCTAACAGAGAGAAAGGCATTATCTGAACACAGCCTCTTACAGACCCCTCCTTATACTCCCGATACACACTACCACAAGACACGGAACAAAAGATACTTGAATTTACAACTGCTCCACTGAACCCTGACCTTTGCATTGCTCTCATCTAGGAAGACAGTGGATGAGATGTGGGTGAAGAGCTGGGGAGCCACAGGACTCCAACAGGGCAGAAGAAGGGAGAAGGAAGTGGCAAGGGTAGGTGTCTGTTTAATAACAGATAAGCAGCCATTTGAATGTATGTGCACATGTCACTGCAATGGGAGAGACTTTTCCCTTAGGGCCCAAGATGGGAAGGGAGCAAGTAAGCAACTGAGGGGACCAGCCAATGTTTGGGTCTAGAGAAGAACAGCTCCTGCGATGTCCCAGAAGACAGAATGGATTGGAGGCAGGAGACTAGATTCAAAGGGCCACTGGTGTGACATGGAATGGCAAGTCCCATACTTCCTATTATAACATCCAATCTGTAAAACCCTTGCACTTGTGCACAGCTGGGAAAGGAGACCCAGCCTCATGTACCTGGAGTCCATCTGAAAGCAGGCTAGACAGATCCGATGGCACAGACAATGAAGAAAAGAGGGAGTTACTGAATCAAGATACAGCTTAGCCACTTGGTATTTAATGAGGCTCTTCCAGCATATCATGTGGTAACAATCAGCTCACTGCCTCTGTATGCAAGAGCCCAAGCACTGAACAATGATGGCCCTGTTACTCCGGTACTGCCTCCACTAGAGAGACTATTACAAAGGGCTGGACACAGCCACTAGTGAAGAGGAGAACATGGCCAGACACACAGCACATTGTTCAGAGAGCGCAAGATGCAGCTAATATACTAAATGGTTACGTGATGGAAGTGGCAGGAGACGTCAGGCTGGGAGGGCCCCCAGCCAGCTCTGGTTAATAAGCATATCCTGTTTCTTCTTTGAGTTAGGAGGGAACCATCGGCTGGATTTAGAAGTACTTGTTTAGCTGTGGAAAGCTCCAGTGCCCACTCCTCAATCCCTTCAACCAGCCAGTCCCCTTAACCTGGTATCTGATTTCCTGACCCTCCATTCAACCAGCCAGTCCTCTTGATTCAGGCTGGTTTCAATCCACTGCCCTACAGGTGAAAGGCTCCTGTTATGTTACCAGTCTCACAGAATGGAGAGTAATCTTAGCTACACTTCTTTTCTCCCCAGACTCCAAAGCAACAGGCCCCCTTCTCCACACAGTGGGCCAGCTCTTCCTAGGCAAACCCTGCTCAGCTCCAAACCAGCAGGCTCTCCTACATTAGCACTAGCTTGCAGGCCTCCATGTGCTCACCTGGGTAACAGAGTAGGCCAATGACAACACTGTGGTAATTGCCAGTACACGCTTGACACTGGACTGGCTCTCAAGATGACCTGAAAGGAACAAGGACAGATCAGACCCTAGTCAACCTCATCACATCAGCTGTCTCTAGAAGCTGCTACCACACTAGCAAGCCCTTGTCCACCCCCCAGGAGGAGGATTACAGTTTGTTTAAAACAAGGAATGCCCAGACTGTTTAAGTATCAGAGGGGTAGCCGTGTTAGTCTGAATCTGCAAAAGCGACGAGGAGTCCTGTGGCACCTTATAGACTAACTGAAGTGTAGGAGCATAAGCTTTCGTGGGCAAAGACCCACTTCGTCAGATGCATGCATCTGACGAAGTGGGTCTTTGCCCACGAAAGCTTATGCTCCTACACTTCAGTTAGTCTATAAGGTGCCACAGGACTCCTCGTCGCTTTTGCAGACTGTTTAAGCCTTTCACAGGACTCAGCATGTCACATTTATAAAAGAGGAGACTGACTTTGCTTCCTTCCCACCCATCCCCCACTACAGTTACTGGACAGAGTGAGCAGCAATGTTATCTACACAGAACTGCTGGAAATTTCTCTCTTTGGAGAACAGTTAAAAGACTGTTCAAGTCATCCAGGAGAACCTGCATTGAGGTTGTGAGCCCTGTAGGTGGGGGATCCAGTGCTTAGATACTGCAGTGATGAACATGGCAATATGTCGATGAGTACACATATGCACCTGAGGACTACAGCTAAGGAGCATCTCCCTGAGCTCAAATGAAAGCATCTTTGACAGTCTGCAGAGGCTTCATCCTTCACATGGCACTAAAAGGGAAGAGACAACAAGAGGGCCCCAGAGGGCTCTCCGTCCTAAAGACTGTGGGGTTCAAGCAAATGACTTTTAAAAGCCCTCGGGAAAAAATTGCATGCTGGAGTCTGCTGGTGCACCAGCATCCTCCCCTTCCCCTAATTTGCATGCAGCATCACTACAAGTGCACATGTGAATCCAACATGTCCTGGTGAAAGCACAAGCCACACAGAAAACTTCACAAATGAGACCACAGGTCACTTCCAGTAATAAGAGTCTTACTTGTCTCCTATCTTTCTTCTAGCAATGCCCTGCTGCAGAGGATTAACTCCCCCTGCCCCATGCAGGTAGAGGCAAGCTGCATACACCACCCCCACAAAGGAAAGACACGCATCTGGAGCACTGGAAAGCAGCAAACCTTCTGGTACCTACCAAAGGCAAGGCCTAGGATCACCACACTCAGCTCAATGGCCAGGAGGAAGAACCTTGTGATCTCCCACAGAATCTGAGAAACAACAGATCAGGGTTAGGAGAGCCAGGAGCCAAGGGGAAGTTTATGCAGTGTGACTCCACCTCTTGCCCTGGGTGGGTTGGGTGGGGGTGGGGGCGAGCGAGACACTTTTCAGGTGGAGCTGATCCTTCCCATATAACTCCCTCACCTTTTGCAGAAGATGCTGAAAATGGGTGAAAATGAGTGGGCTGAAAATTAACTAATTCCCCCCTAATTATACCCCTTCCCTCAAGGCAAGCCCTGCACACATGGCCCACCTGGCTGATAAGGAATGAGAGAGAATGAACGATGCACCACCAGAAGGCCTGAGAAAGTGGCAGCAGTTCAGTACAGTTAAAGGTGTCTTTCTGGGGCAGCAAGTATCATCTCTGCTGCATTCCCAATCACTGCCAACCTGAACAACATGCATCTTCAGCACCATAGAAACTAGGACTATTGGAGCTATGCTGCAGCAAACCTCTAGCTGGTAAGTTCTCGTGCCCTCCTCTGATGCTGCTATCCAGTATCAATAGCAAAATCTTGAAGCAAAATAAACTCTTAAAGCTCCCTAAAGGACTGATACTACTTATTTCCATGTCACGGCGAGACACAGAGACACAAAATGACTTTTCCTAAGGGAAGCAATGGCATGTCTGGGATTAGAACCCAGAGTATCTCTCCTGGTGGAGTTACTCATGAATTTTAGAACCAATCACACAACAGCAATTCCTATTTAAAAAGCCATGCACCACCTGTCAAAGCACCCTTTCTTGCAAAGCCACATTCCCTGTAGATGTTCTGTTCGGTTTTCTTTATGTCCTTCTGTAACTTCCCAGCACCACAAACAACAGAGAGTTCAGAGGCACAGTGTTACCCTCATGAAATCTCATCTTTTATTTAATGCCCACACCCTGATTTGTGTAGCAGAGGTGAAGGGAAAAGGCTACCAAGATCTAGCTAGCCAGTGCATTGAAGAGCAAAAACAGGGTATGTCAGGGAGAAAAAGAACCTAGAAAATACAGGACACCCAGGAAACTTTGGAGAAGGTCACCTTTCCAAGGTAGGACTTCTGCCTCCAACAACAAAAGAGCTACAGAGCATTTGATTTAGGGACTGCCCACTTGTGGTAATCATTGAACTCTCTAGAAGAAAATTTACTTTACAGAGACATCTCCTATTTGCCCTTTCATTGATCTGGAAACATTCAGTTACTAGAATCACAATGGACTTCAGTGTTGTTTGTTCTCAGACAGGAAAGTACCCCACATTTTTCACTCAGCTGCTGCAGTTAGGAACATTGAAGTCTGGGTGTTGCCAGTTATCAGGCAATTGTGGGAGGTCCTGGCTTTGCATCAAGATGCCTAGCTGAGTCATTCTCTCCTTGCAAAATGGAGACTTTGCTACTACTGATGTGTTATTTAGCAAGCACATTGTTCCACAGATCTGGACACTCTAATCATTTGGCTACGGTTATTGAAGTGAGACTCTACAGTAACCACCCGTCATGAGCGCTGCAGATAAAAACATTCTTCGTGTATGCGTGTAAACAGGAAGCTGCTAATCAGAAGGGCCATAACTGCACAAGGCAGAAGTATCTAGGGTCAGTGCTTTACTCACCTTATCTGCAACTGTAGCAGCATCAGAGGCGCTGACCGTCATAGAGACAACAGCACGAGCAATCCCAACTAACGCCACCACAAATACCTAGGAAATACAACAAAGGTGAACGGGTGCTCATGTCCTGCCCATTGCTCGGGATGATAATCGGGATTCTGCTCTAGGAACCAGTTTCCATGTTAGCTTAGAAGCCTAACAGTTAGTACTCCGGGACTTCTAAATCCGAGATCCAAGAAAGAGTCCTAGGGCTGGTCTCCCACTCCCCAGGCTTACTTGGTATGAGTATTTCGTAGACAGCAGACTTAGACTCGGTGAAAAAGAATCAACACCAAATTTCCCTCAACAAGTAGTGCAAGGAGCCTCATTCAGTCCTGATATACAATGGAATATCAGGGATCTAAGAACATAATTCTATCTTTTCCACTCCCACCACCTCAGCCCAGGAAAAGAGTCAACAACAAAAACACCACTCCCGATTATGAGGACAATACCTAGTGTGACCCAGTATACAGATCTCACCAGGTAACCAATGCCACAGGACATCAGCTAACAGACCCCCTCAGATCAGCTATAAAGCTCCACAGTCCATTCATTCATCTAAGAACATAATTCTATCTTTTCCACTCCCACCACCTCAGCCCAGGAAAAGAGTCAACAACAAAAACACCACTCCCGATTATGAGGACAATACCTAGTGTGACCCAGTATACAGATCTCACCAGGTAACCAATGCCACAGGACATCAGCTAACAGACCCCCTCAGATCAGCTATAAAGCTCCACAGTCCATTCATTCAACACTGGCAGCCCTCAAGCATGTGCAAGATGAAAAATCAGCTGCGGACCAGGACTTCTGAGTTTCTGAAAACTATGGATGTAAAGGGGTAACTGGTTACCTGGTAAGAATCACACTTACTGGGTGATACCTACCAGTAACTGGTTAACTTTTTACATGACAGTTTACATCCCTACTGAAAACACAAGCTTTTCCAAGAAGAGTTTCCAGCATTGTGGGTTAAATTATGCTAATCCTCTAGGGATATAAAGTGCCTAAACCTATCCCAATACGGGCAAAGGTCAAATCTGATTAACCAACTCATAAACTAAGGTTAACTGTGAAAGGTTAACAGTTAACCAATAAGCATCACCCTAAATGGTGATGCAACCTAATGTTTAACCGGTTATCTGATTTATTGGGATTTTACATCCTTATCACAAACCGTATTTTCCTTTCCACAGTGACGGTGAGCCAAGGAGGGAAAATGTACTCCATGGGTATTTTGAAATGTACTATCTACCACAGATCTTTGTAGCCTCTTCCTGTGCAGTCCAGCTTTACACCCAGTTGGGTGCTTTGAAGGACAGACACCCTTGCAGTGGGGTGTGGGAGGAGTGCAACTCACAAAGAGAATGCAGTGTTATAATTCACTGGAGTGCAAGTTTGGGGAAAGTTGCACTGAGAAGAAAGCAAACATTTTTAATGCTCAATGGCACCAGTTTAGCAGCCATATTTTACTCCCTTTTATGGGAACTGGATCTTCTTTGCTACTGCTTCAAGAGGCAAAAGGGTGGCCTCTCCCCAAATCCCACACTTATTTTTAACAATAAAAAATAACATCAGTTCAGTAAGGGATCAGTAAACAACAAACTACAGGAGGGTTTTGAGATGGATCAAGAAGAGACCTGGGATGGTGACAGGCTAAACAGAGCCTAAGGGGCTGTACCAAGCCCTGGAAGAGGAAAACCTCCATTCACTTTCCAGAAACCTGACCGAGATAATTGTCTGAAATTTACAAATGCTGATTTCAAAGGAAACATTTTACATCCCCTTTTTCCTATCAACATTATACACAACATTATAAAATGGAGAAATACTTTTCATGGTCTCTTCTCCTGAGTTATTTTTTGCTCCTTGCAAAGCCAACAGCTTAGGCAGTTTCACTTTTGTTTCTTTTCTTCAGTTTCTGGTCAGTTGAGCTTTCCTGGTTCCCTAGCACTTTGTTCCTGGCTGAGCCAATTGCACACACAGACACCACTGGGGAAGGTTTACATCCAAATTTAAAACTACTGATAATACTTTTTAAAAATTCTGTAGCATTTTTCTATATATTAGATTGTTCAAGATTGCCTACCACTACCACCACCTACTCTGAAAGTTTGTGCACATTTCTAACTGTACAACTTAATTTAAAAAGAAAACCTGTATATTTATGTAGGAGCCAAAGGGCTTTTACCAACCAGGGACCTAACTCAGGTGTTCCGTGAGCCATAAATGTTCTCGGAAGGTGGGTGAAGGTAGACTAAACACAAAAATGCACACACCACTTTAATACTCCCCAATCATTCAGAAACCAGGTGCTGTACTTACCAGTATGTAGAAGGTAGTAAAGATGGGGCTGGAAGTGACATGGATTTTGGCCCTGGCAGAGGGCAGTTTCCAGAGAAGAAAGACAAAGAAAAGCACATTGGGAACCAGAAGCATAAGGTCCCAGTAGCGGACTCTGCAAAAAATAAACAATTAAAAAGACAACTTGCATGATTTCCCCTTACCCAGAGGCATACATCAGCCTCACTTTCTCTCGCTTCTACTCCTGAGAGTCATCATTCTTTGGACATGGTCCAGACCCAGCTCCTACCCTCACCTGGACTTCCCAATGTCTTCGTATAGCAACAGCAGGCACTTGTGTGGCATAGTGATGTTGGTGTCATTGATTGCCCGGACTGTTGTTGGGGGCAGAGTCGTCACATTATTTGAGGCCATAAGCAGGGTAGTGGCAGTAGAGTGGGTGACATTGTCATATGCGGAGAACCTCACCACAGATGTCATGGACTGGGCCATCTTGCCTCTGGTCTGGAAGCGGGATAGACAGTTAGTCACACACAGAGGTGCCAAGACCAAGCATGATACAACACAGAGCAACCAAGATAAAGGCAAAAAGCAATCTTACAATTGAGCAGGAAGATCAGCAACGAACTAGGGATGTAAGAGTGTAGTCGATTAACCAATAAGTAAAAGCTTATAGGTTAATGTTATAGACCAGTGTTTCTCAATCAGTGGTATGAGTATCCTTAGGGGTACTAGAGAAAAGTGTGTGTGGGGGTACATCAACACAACTGAAATTTGGAGAAAACAAAATTTTTGTTTTAAGCTTCACAGCGCTTTATTATTTTTGTACTTTTTATGCCCAAAAATTTCATTGCCCACCCTGCTACAATTAAGCTGTTTAAACAAATGTGTTGCAATGGTAGAAAAAAACTGTAGCTACTGGGAGTACTTATTTTTTTTAAAGGTGTACTTTATTTAAAAATAAAATTAAAAAAAAAGGTTGAGAAACACTGCTATAGACTACACACATTTTCCCCTTTCCCCTCACCAGTAAATTTTTTAGCAGGCTGGCCAACAGCCTGTCTCAGTCCTGGCTTGCAATGGGTCTAGGACCTATTTCCTCTCTGGCTGTGCATTTAAAGTGTTATTAGGAGGTAGGCGGCAAACAGCCTGGCTCAGTTCTGGTTCACGCTGGGTCCAGGAGCTCAGACCAGTCACTCCCCTCCCAAATGGGCTGCTGCCACCCCTGTATCAGAGGCAGCAGCGCAGGGCAACAGGGAGCCAGTCCATGACGGGAGAGCTGGCTTTTAAACTGGCTCCTCCGGCATACCAGCTCCCACTTGGCACCCCACGCTGCTGCCTCTGATACAGAGGCAGCAGTGCAGAGTGGCAGGGGGCTCCTTGGGAATGAAGCCAGCGAGCAGTGACTGCTGGACCCACCTCCAGGGACTAGAGAATAGTCGAGTAACCGATACGAATTCATGAGGTTACTCAACTATTCAATTAACCGATATTTAACATCCCTACAATGAATATCCTTGATATTTACCCCACAATAATTGCATCCTACTCGCTACCACAAAGTACCGTACTCAGAAACTTCAAGGGGTAGCCTAGTTAGTCTGTTACATTAAAAAAAACAACAAATGGTCTGGTAGCACTTTATAGACTAACAAAACACGTAGATGGTATCATGAGTTTTCGTGGGCACAGCCCACTTCTTCAGATGACCGGAGTTATGAAGGAGTCATCTGAAGAAGGGGCTGTGCCCCTCGAAAGCTCATGATACCATTTACATGTTTTGTTAGTCTATAAAGTGCTACCAGACCATTTTTTGTTTTTTTCCATACTCAGAAAGAGCTTCTACAGCTCTTTTCAACCATGGATCACCAAGTACTTCTAGGGATATAAGTTACTATCTATCACTGTCCCTAATTGATCAATATAGAAGTTGAAGCACAGAGTTATTCAGTGACCTCTCCAATATTACACTGGGGAACAGTCAAATGTACAACCCTGAAGTCCTGGGTTCCCTCTTCCATCTACTACAGGGGTGTCCAAACTTTTTTCAAAGAGGGCCAGATTTTATGAAGTGAACATGCGTGAGGGCCGACCATTTTGCCTGACATTCTTTGAACCATTAAAATTAAACGCAAATTAACTATTTTATGCAAAGTTTATTGCAAACGGCATACTTTTCATTTCGTCACATGGATGACAAATCTAAACAGGTGTTAAATCACTCTGCCTTTCAAATCTGAAGGCCAGATGAAAAAAAAAATCCAGGAAGCTGAAATATATGTCAGGAACATTGTAAAGTACATTACATATTATTGGTAATAAAGGTTGTCTGTCAACTTTTAAGTTCAAAAAATATGAACAGGAACATAACACCAAGTATACATGTTGTGTCCAAATATATTTATAACTGATTTAGACCAACTGACTTTAACTGAGATTTTACAATGTATTCATCTCAATACATATGGATTCATTGGGGGCCATAAAAGATAGATATTGCCAAATTACCCGGGGGGCCATATTAAACCGGAACACGGGCCGCAATTGGCCCACGGGCCGGACTTTGGACATGCCTGATCTACTATATCACACATGCTCTCCTCTAGCATTTTGAAGGAAGATGAGATTGCCCGCTCCCCTGCTGAAACCAGTTACCATATGACCTGCCCTCCCTGAATACATACTCACATTCTCCCTGCCTACATGTCTGACCTATCACCACTTTTCTCTGCTATCAGGGGCTGCTCCTGCTGAGTTATTAGTTATCATGCATGTATTACTGGGCCAAGTCTGCACTCGCATCCATAAAATCCCAAATCATTGACACTGATTTCAGTGGAGTTCACTGGTGAAAATTATGGAAGAAACTGGCCCTATGATTTCTTTTAAGGACCCACCCATACAAGAGGCTCAACTAAGTTTGAGTATAGGGTACTTAGACATGCAAATTATAAACAGCTCAATCCACCACCATTGAAATGCAGTGACATGATAAGCTTTGTGGGACATGTCATGGGGTTAAAGCAGACTGGGAGGTCAAAGAGCTGGATTGTCACTGGCCCGGAGTTAGATGTGATATATGATCATGGGCCAATCCCTTCTCTACACAGCAGTTTCCCCTGCTGTAAATAGGAACCCTACCCCTGAAATGTTCTTTACATTCCACAGATACAAGGTGCAATACAACACCCAAGTCTTGCTCACTGTAGAACCCAGCTCTCCCCGACAGAGTCATCATAGAGCACAGGGAGATTAAGAAAACCTGCCTATTGTCATCACATCATCACATGTCCCTGGGTTCTGGTAAATGATGTCCACAAAGGGGAAAAAAGCCACCACCTGTTGCACCCTGTCTCAGACCCTGTTCAACTGACCCAGGTTCGTGCGGCTCACACCCTTGGGCGAAAAACAGCAGTATGGACATATTGGTTCAGCCTGCAGGCTGGGCTCTAAGACTTGTCAAGGGAGAAGGGTCTCAGAGTCTATGTTCCAGCCCAAAATGCAAATGTTTACACTATTTTTAACCCTGGAGATGAGCATAAATCAGTTGATTGAGACTCAGAGACTCAGCATTGTGAGATTGTTGGAGTTTTTTCTCTCAGTGAAGAGGTACAGATAAAGCTTTGACAGCCAGTTTTCTGTAGGTAATCCAGAATTAATCTCAAGACAATTCCCCTTTATTTGGCTTTAAAACAAAGCCAGCACTGTGAAAGTGAACAGTCAGGATGAGTTTAGGAAGGTGGGTTTTTTTGCCACATGACAGCAGAGCCAGCAGATGGACTCTCACAAATCAGAGGAGGAGAGCCACAACCCTCTATCATCTGCTGACCCTTTGGCATTTAGGTGTTGCCCTTCCAGGGGCTGCCCAAAATTCCCCTACACAGGGCTGTTCTTTCTTCTGGAAAGCTGGGGTGCTTTCCAGAGCTTACAATGAAAGGTGAGTGGTAGCTCTTTGCTAACAGACCCACTTTTCATCCAGGCATTCTAACAGGTACTTGTTGGATTGGGGCTTTCTTCAATAATTGCTGTATGTTGCACTACCTTGGGTACGTAACATTAAACAAACACACTTGGGAAGATTAACTTGGTGCTGAGATGGCAATTTCTGTACCAGAAATCCTAGTTCTGGCAAAGGTTTCAACGAGTGACTTTCAGATTCCAGAGACATCCTCTCCACTTCCCACAATTCCTAATCAGTGAAAACACATCTCTGAAGCAGGCATTTTAGTTAATTACTTTGCTCTGTCCTTCTTCCTGACACATGCCATGGATCTCTTGACTCTAGGAAGGGCAGGAATTGGGAGAGGAAAAAGGGTGGATACTATAATGCTTATCAGCCACGTGGCATCCATTCTGGGACATGGTATCTGACCTGCATTCCACAAACAGAAAGAAGCTGGGTAAAAATCAGTCAGTGTGAGAGTGAAACAGGAAAGAACTTACATCTTTCTTGAAGAGAGGATCCCAGAGATACTAGATCCTCTTTTTTAAAAAGTCACCATTATCATGCAAACACAACCAAGCTGTGATAAGCAGAGCTGGGCTGGCCAGATCTAAGTGCCCCAGTCATAAAAACTCAAAGGACAAGCCTGCCTCCCAACCAGGCTACTAGCTCTGGGCAAGCACCAGATGTCCTATTTTTCTTCTAAAGAACGTTGGTAGTAAAAGCGAAGTCATCACACATCTAGCACCAGGCATTATTGTGGCAGACTTCAATGGGAGCAGGAACAGAATCTAGGCTATAGAGTTTTTACTCCTTCCTCCACCCACTATAAGCTGGCACCTTAACAGCATAATCCCTGGGGCTTTGTCCAGTCTAGTCTGAAATACAATCCGCTGTGTGTATTGTGAGTGATATTTCCTTAGGCTAGTGATAGGCAACCTAGACAAGTGAGTGGGCCACATGAGTGGCCCTCCTTCATTTCAGTGGGCTGCAGGATTGTTGTAACCAAGACGGTCTGCCTGCTCTTGCATACCTAGAATTCACTGGGTGTGCTGATTGAACTATAGCAGCCGCGCTTTGATTGAATACAGCTTTCAGAGTCAACGCTGTGTGTATTCAGCATCCAGCTCACTTCATGTGCCCTCGCTTTACATGCATGTAACATTAGTAATGACAGTAGGAAAAAACACTATGTTGATGGAAACCAGCGGCATCTTGCAGCCCTACAGGCGGGTAACAGTAAACAAAATGTCTTGCGTGCCACACATAGAACCCCCATCGGCCACATATAGCTCATGAGCTGCAGGTTGCCCAGCAATGTCTTAGGCCTTGTCTACACTGCCAGCACCACCATGCTGCATGGCTATTAAACTATGTTGAGGCTAGCCTAGTTTGACCCAAGCTGTGTGGATGAGGTAAAACCATATTATAGCTAGGTTAAAAAAAAAAAGTGCTATAGGCCAGGCCCCTTTTCTTTCTCCCCCAGGAAGTGTTTCTTTGTCAGACAACAAATCAATTCATACTCTCCTCTCACCATATTTTGGCCAGAGATGAAGCCATTCTGACTTTAAACTGTATCAACTTCTCTGCCCAAGCCGTGGACTCATAAGGGGCAACAAAAACAGGAACATGTGCCTGGCTATTTAGATGCTTACCATGATTATGTATTATATTTACCGGAGTGCCTAGAATCCCTAGTCATGGAGTAGCATGGAACACCCACGTTATTGTCAATGTGACATAAAAATGGCAGCTATTTTTGTGTCTCACTAAAAAAATTGGATTTCTATTTTATTTTTAATTAAGACATTTCAACAAGGTCAAAGATAGTTGAAGCTTATGGTTGAAATTACTGGGCAGCAGTCTGAGCTCTCATGGCCTGTCCAGAGCTGAATTACCAGCTAACAGAGTTTTGGCTTGTTTTCCCAGATTGATGAGGAAAGGATATGAACCATGTCAGAAACCCTCTAATTACATAGGGTGGTCAGCAGCCTTTTCTACCTTCAAGCAGTCTTGGTCACATAACTGTGCTAACGAATACCCCATTTAAATTAGGGATGTTAAACTTTTTTTTTTTTTTTGCGCAAACGTGTAACCACTGAAATGTTCAGCAATTACACGTTTACACAACGGGGGAAGGTGGCTCCCCGAGAGCCACCTGCCCACTCCCCTTCCCGTGGCAGCAGCGTGGGGGGGCAGGTGGTAGCTGGTGCTCGCGGGGCCTTGTGTGGAACCATAAAAGGCTCATCAGTTAACCATTTAAACAGGTATACAATCACATCCCTAAGTTAAATGCAACTGTTACTGCAATGTCTTTAAAGTAAAAATAACGCTTTGAAGGGGGATGAATTGGTGTTGGTGGGAAGAAAGATTGCAACAGAGCTTTTCAAATCACCATATCAATGTTTGCATCAAAACGGTCGCATTTTCATTTTACCCACAAGACAAGATCACAAGATGAGTTTTTCCACCTAGTGGCAAAGTACGTTTACTTAATTCCCCCCTCCCTTCCCCATTTCATTTTCACATCATAATTTGAAGCAAGTTTTAGAAAGAAAGAAAATAAAACCACAATGCTAAAAAAAATGAATGACAAGCAGCAGTCTCAGCAGTGACCCAAAACCACAATATACTGAACGACAATTCATGAGTGGAATCCTTTATAAATATCCTTTAGCTTAGGGCATAGCTGCATGCATAGAGACATTAAGATCAGGGATGCTAAAATTAGGTTGTTACCAATAGAGTAGTCCCCAACTAAATTAGTCGATAGAGGAAGGCAGCCAGCTCAGCCCTGGCTCATGCTGTGTGGGACCAAACCCCTCTGCAGCGCTGCAATTTAAAAGGCAGTAGGAGCTGGGCAGCCCCGTCCCCTGGCTCCTGTGTTTTAAATTGCAGAGCCATAGCAAGGTTTGGTCCCAGACCCAGCGAAAGCCAGGACTGAGCTGGCCTATTGGCCCAGCTGGCAGCAGCCATCTCCCTGCGCTGGACCCCCCTGCGGTTAGGGGGCCTCTGCTGCAAAGCAGCCCCTGTGCATGGCCAGCCACTGCAAACAGGGGCTGCTTTGCAGCAGCAGCCCCTGTCCATGGGGGGTCCTAACTCCCGCTGGGATTCCCTGGGGATAGGGGCTGCTGCCGGAATAGCCTCTCTTGCCGCCCCCTCCTGTTGCCTCTGATAGAGGAAGCAGTGGAGGAGGGAGGGAGGCAGCAGCGTAGATCCAGTGCTGGGGGGAGAGGGGGAGTAGCTTTTAAGCCACCACCCCACAGCACTAGCTCCTGTTTCCCCGCTTGCTGCCTCTGATATAGAGGCAGTAGGGTGGGGGAAAGGGTGACAAGTAATCGACTCGACTACTCAAATACATCCCTAATTAAGGTAGATCTGCCTCTCATAAAGAAGTGAGAGAAGCAGCAAAGAAACTCACAGTAAACGGAGTCAACAGACCCTATGCAGGAGAGGAGGGAAGAAAGGATGACCCTGCTAAAAGCAAAGTAAAGACTCCGGAGATCCTTACCCCACTCCAGCCCCTTTACATCACTCAATACGCACCAGAGCACAGTAAAATTGCTTTAGAAGCCCTGGTCTAGCCATAAGAAAATTGCCTCAGTGCAGGCAGTAAGAATGCCTCTAAAGGGCCACTTCACCAGGTCCCAGGTGAAGCTACCAGGTCCCAGACAGCACAGCTACCATAGGGCAGCTGCAGAAGGCTAGGTAACTCAGGCCCCTATTTCTAAGAACCGTCTGTGTAATGCTGCTGGCCTGGAGTATGACTTGAACTATCTTAACTGCCCCCACCCTTCAGCTACAAGTTCTGAACTATACTGCATAAGAGAATCTCACCTCACCTAGGTTTCAGTTTCAGTTCTGTCACCCAAACACTGTGACAACTAAGACAGGGCACAAAGTCTCTCTGTGATTCAGCTTTCCCACCTGTAAAATGGGGTACGCCTCATCTGCCTCTCAAACTGTGCTGTACGGCTAAATTCATTAAATTCTGTAAGGCACGTCAGGATATCCTGAGGAGAGAGACAGCTAGTAAAGTGCAAACTATTACGTGTACTAAGGATGAAAGATCTGAGAGTTCTGTCACTTGATATTGGCTAAGCCAGAGCAGACTTCTTTTAGAACAATGGTTTTCAACCCCTCTTCCCCGGGTTCCACAAACTACATCTGAGATTTCCAAAAAGGTCCTCACCTCCACCGGAAATTTTTTTAGGGATCTGCAAATGAGTAAAGGTTGAAAACCACTAGTTTACAGGACTTTAAAAGCCAGAGTTGTCTGATGTATGTGAAACAGGCATACTCTCACACATGCAAGTGTTACCAATGCTACCTGTTTCAACAACTTCTCTTTCCTAGGTTTCCCACCCTTATTACTGCACACATTCTTTGCTCCATGTTAGCAATGAGTAATTTTTTGTTGATCATATTAAGAAATCTGTTTTCTTTTACAATGATTACGTAGAGCTCAACTACTTTGCAAATAGCATTGTGGAATAACAATATCAAGTATCATGATAAAAAGTTTCAAAAAAAAAAAGAGAGAATGCTTGTGCACCCTTGACAAATTTAAAGTCCAACGCTCAACCTTTAAAATTACCTAAAACAGTATCAAAACCCAACAGAACTATTTGAGAAATCTTAGGTTTGATCCCAATCCTGGAATGACCTTTGAGAAAACCGAGTCCTGGAACCGTGGAACCCCACTGTAGGGCATACCATTAACTAAGAAACTTATACACATTTAAAAATGTTGGCCTGCCTCATGCTAGACATCTAATTCCATACCTAGGCAGCTAAACAAGTAACCTAACTTTCTAAGGTACTGAGCATCCACCTCTCCCAAAAGAATTTGAAAAATCAGGCATTAATGACGATAACAGGGTAAAAGAAAGAACAAGATAAATTCATGGAGGATAGGGCCATCAATGGCTATTAGCTAGGATGAACAAGTTTGTGTCCCTAGCCTTTCTTTGTCAGAAGCTGGGAATAGGCCATAGAGGATGGATCACTCGATTACCTATTCTGTTCGATCCCTCTGGGGCACTTGGCATTGGGCACTATAAGACGACAGAATACTGAGCTAGATGGACTTTTGGTCTGACCCAGTATGGCCATTCCTACATTCTTAAATTAGGATGTCTATACAGATATCTAATCTGAGATATGTCTGAAAAATCTGACCTAAAATTTTAAGTAACGCTTACTCCCAAATTAAGAGGCCAGATCTGGAGGCCAGTCAGAGGTCATGGTCAAATCCTGTTTACAGTCATAACAATAGCTTAATTTGGGAACACAGGGCTACGCCAAGGATTTTCAAATAGGGATTAAATAGTCATCCTAACAAAGTCTCCCAAACTTCTGCAACTTCATACGGTAAAGCTCCACTCCCTCTCCATAAAGGCTTTTTAAAAGAGTAACATTTGCACATTCTTATATCCCTGACATGCATATTCACATAACGGTTCCCAAAGTGATGGCTAGAATTCACACACTATGCAGTTAGACTTTGGTACTTCCTAACAGCTGAGCCAAGCTGCTACGGCCTTCCATCTGCCCAAAAAATTTGCTTGATTTCCATTTTGAAAAACTCACTCCTCATAGAAGAGGTGAGTTTCTATGTACTGTATCACTAACACAACACAGAAAGCTCCCGGTCAGCAGCACCCATACAGGGAATAGACATTGTGTTGCTAGAAATTGCTAGTGATGAAGCCCAGACAAAAAACACAACTAGCAAAAAGAATTTCTTTTTGTTAGAACTCCTGAGACTAGCAACCACTTCCCCAACATACATACATCCCCAGAATAAAAAGACTGAATAGGT